TCAAATTTCATGTATTAGAAAATTAATCCCCAAATTAACATGTTGATTGGATGTGGTGCTTTGGGGTAATAATAAGGATTAGATAAGGTCATAGCGTGGGGCCCCCATGGTGGAACTCATGGCTTTATAAGAAGAGGAATGAAATGTATAAACAAACTGTGGTACATCCCTACAGTGGAATACTCCTGAGCAATAAAGAGGAGCAAACTATTGATAAATGATACACATTGCATGGGTCTCAGGGACATCATTTTGAGTGGAAAAAAACCTATCTTAAAAATATTACATACTGTATGATTCCATTCATATAACATTCTCAAAATGACAAAATTATAAAGTTGGAGAACAAATGAATGGTTGCCAGGGAATAGTGATTTGGGGTGGAAGGTGACTACAAAGGGGTAGCACAAGGGAGTTCCTTTGTAGTGATGGGACAGTTTTGTTATTTTTAGTATGGTGATTACCTAAATCTATACATGTGGTAAAATTGTATAAAACTACACATGTACACACATATCCACTCATCTGTGAACACTGGTGGAATCTGAAAAAGGCACAGTTAACAGTGTTGTACCAATTATCAATTCCCTGGTTTTGGTAATTATATTCTAAGTACGTAAGTAGTTCCTACTGGGGGAAGATAGGTGAAAAATATACAAGATTCTCTGATTAAATAAAACTAATTTTTCAACTTCCTGAGAGTCTATAACTATTTCAGAATGAAAAATACTTTGAAAAACCATTGGCTGCTTAAAGCAGAACAGTAACAATGAGTGGAGGGGTTTATAACACATAGAGAAGTAAAACATAGAACAAAAATAGCACAAAACAAGAAAGAGTTAAGTACTGTTGTAAAAGTCTTATATTCTTTACTAAGTGGAATAATATTAATTCAAGTTCGATTATGATAACTCAAGGATGCATACTATAACCCAGGGGTCCTCAAACTTTAAACAGAGGGCCAGTCCACTGTCCCTCAGACCGTTGGAGGGCCAGACTATAGTTTAAAAAAAGACTATGAACAAATTCCTATGCACACTGCACATATCTTATTTTGAAGTAAAAAAAACAAACAGGCAAAAACACCTGCATGTGGCCCGTGGGCCATAGTTTGAGGATGCCTGTACCCCTTGAGCAGCCACTAAATATTTCTCTCTATAGATAGATAGATATGTATTTGTAAAGTAGTATAGCTTAAAAGCAAATAGAAAATATAAAATGGAATACTAAATAGTACTTTATTAATCCAAAAGAAAGCATGAAATGAGGAACAAAGAACAGATAAGACAAATAGAAAATAAGAACAAAATGGCAGATTTAACCCAACCATGTCAGTAATTATGGTCATTCTAAATAGGCTCAATACTCCAATAAAAGATATACATTGTCATTTGAATTTTTTTTAAAAAAATCCAACTATACACTATTTCCAAAAGGTGTACATTAAATATAAGGACACAGATAGGTTGAAAGGAAAATGATCAAAAGATATGTGCTGTGCAAACACTAATCATAATAAGGCTCATGTGGCTATGCTATCAGAGAAAGCAGGGGTAATATAAGTATTATCAGTGAAGGAGGAAATTTCATAATGTTAAAAAGGTACACTTAACAGGTAGAGTAATCCTAAATACAATATATGCTCAATAACATGCCTTCACATACAAATACATGCAGCAAAAACTGATGGAACAGAACAAATCTATAATCTTAGAGATTTTAACACTCCTCTCTCAGTAACGGACAGAATAAGCAGACAAAGACATCAGTAAAGATATGAAGATTCACACAATACTATCCACCAAATTTACCTAATTTGACCATTTACAAAACACCCCACCTAACAATAGCAGAATGCACAGTCTTTTCAAGTACTCATGGAATATTCACCAGTAAAGACCATATCCCATATGAACCACTAAACAAGTCAATAAATTCTAAGGATTGCAATCAGATAGAATATGTTCCCTGACCATAATGGAATTAAACTAGAAATCAATTAAAAACAAAAACAAAACACACTTCTTCACCTATATGTCAGCAGAGTCTTCTTCCTCCAAACAATCTGTATAAAATCGGCTCAAATTGTCATGGTCTACTCTGTGGAAATCTGATATCCCCTCTGATGTCAGTCAGGGTTGTCCAGAGAAACGGAACCAGCAGGATGTGCATAGAGAGAGACTTATTTTAAAGAATTGTCTCATGTAATTGTGGAGGCTTGATAAATCCAAAATATGCCTAGTAGGCCAGTAGGCTGGAAACCTGGGGAAGAACTACAGTTGCAGCCCAAGGGCGGTGAGCTCGCAGAATTCCTTCCTGCTCAGGGGAGGTCAGTCTTTGCTTTATTAAGGCCTTCAATTGATTGCATGAGGTCCACCCATATTACTTTATTCAAAATCCACCCATTTAATGTAAATCTCCTCCAAAAAACATCTTCATAGAAATATCCAGAATAATATCTGACCAAACATCCAGGCACTGTGGCCCAGGCAAATTGATACATAGAATTAACCATCACGCTTCCCCACACCATGATTTCTTAAATTTCTTAAAGGATTAATATTCCCATGATCTGCAAACTAATAGTTCTCCTAAATTAGTTCAGTTGATAAGTCATAGACCTACTTTACCTATAATGTTAATGTGAAACTCAGCCCCTTCCACCAAGTTTCACCAAAACCAACAAGCCAACAGAATCTCATTCACACAAGGCCATGTGGGCGTGACAGACTTTGGTGACCATCTGGGGAGACAGGATGGGCTTTTCTTCAGCAACACAAACAACCTCAAATTGCACAATTAAATCCCTGCTATTCTCACCCATTCTCTTCTCTCCTCCTTGACTTTCTGTTCTCCCCTGCTCCAAAATTATCATTCATTTCTAATAAAAATCAATTGACATTTTTTTCGATTCCTTAAGTCTGCCAAACCATACCTCCAGAATCTCACTTTGCATCCCAAGGCATCTTCCTAAATAGAGGCAATTGCCTAAGAAAACTTCCAATACCAGATGTCTAAATTAATGGGATTTTCCTCTTTATTTCACATAGGAAAAGGACTGGGAGAAAATAGAGCAAAATATTAACAGTGGTTGCTTTTGAATGGTAGAAACATGGATGGTTTCATTTTCCCTTTCATTTTCCAAATTTTCTTTAATTAGCAGATATAACCTTTTTTAATGTTAGAGGGGACTGCAATTTTTTTTCAGATGCAATTTAAAAATTTTTAAACAATCTCAACTAACAGAAAAGTTGCAAGGGTGATACAAAGAACTCTTTTTGCCTGAATCATTTGATAATAAGGTGTGAACACTTTGCCTGTCATACTTGATTACTTTAAGTGTGTGTTTCCTACAAACAAGGACATTCTCCTATATAACCCCAATATAACCATCAAAACCAGGAAATTAACACGGATACATTACTACCATGCAATCCTATGCCCCATTCAAGTTTTGCCCATTGTCCCAATAATATTCTTTATAATAAAAGAATCTAGTCCAGACCCACATAATGCATTTTGTTGTGATATGCATTTGGTCTCCTGCAGTCTGGAAGAGGTCCTCACTTTCCTTGCTTTTTAAGATATTCAAGTTTTTGAAAATTACAGGCCAGTTATTTTATAGAATGCTTATCAATGTGGATTTGATGTTTTCTTGTGATTACATTTGGGTTATTCTTTTTTGACAGGAACACCACGGAAGTGACTCTGGGTTCCTAATACCTAGCACTAGCAGGCGGCCGTGATGCAGTCTGTCCCATTACGGATGACGTTCACTTTCCTCACTTGATTGAGCGCATGACTGATGGGCTTCTCCTTAGTAAAGTCACTCTCTTGCCTTTGTAATTAGTGGCACTGTACTCCGAGATTATGTAAATACCCTGTTTCTCGTCAAACTTTTAATTTATTCAGTTTTTAAATGTCAGCATGGACTCATGATTTCCTACTTTATTCAAAGGGTTATAATTTATTACTATCAATATGTATTTTATCGCTTCTCGGCCTTTTAGCTAAGATCAAGTGTAATATGTATTTTGATGACCAAATATTCCCACATATGGCCAGTGGGAATACTCAGCGGGCTCTACTGTCCTTCAGACAAGCCCCCATCATTTTTTGAAGAAATTCTGTACTTTCTGGTCCAAGATGCTCTAGGCTCCTTTTGCATATTTCCTATCCCAGCCCTGGAATCAGCCATTTCTCCAAGGAGCCCTGGACCCTTTTAGTGAAAAAAAGAATTTGGAAATCAAGATCCAGGCATAAAGTATGCTCATGTTTATCCGGATGTCACAGTCTCCAGGCTCCTCTCAGTGCACAGAGCTAGCTAATAGTGTGTGTGTGGGTGTGTGTGTGTATGTGTGTCTGTCTATCTATACTGAAACTCATATGCTCACACTAATACCTCCAATTCTACTCCAATACCACAGAGTTTATTTTGGTGCTTTCCCTTCCATATTATAAAACTCCCTTCTTTGACAGTGACATACTGCTTCTATTTTCCTTAATATATTTACTTATTTAGGCTGGACGAGGTGGCTCATGCCTATAATCCTAGTACTCTGGGAGGCCGATGCTGGTGGATTGCTCAAGGTCAGGAGTTTGAGACCAGCCTGAGCAAGAGCGAGACCCCATCTGTACTAAAAATAGAAAGAAATTAATTAAAAAAATATATAGAGAAAAAATTAGCCAGGCATGGTGGCACATGCCTGTAGTCCCAGCTACTCGGGAGGCTGAGGCAGTAGGATTGCTTGAGGCCAGGAGTTTGAGGTTGCTGTGAGCTAGGCTGATGCCACAGCACTCTAGCCCAGGCAATAGAGTGAGACTCTGTCTCAAAAAAAAAAAAAAAAAAAAAATAAATAAATAAATAAATAAATATATATATATATATATATATATATGTATTTACCTATTTGATTACTGTCAGTCTATGTAGCCCCCCTGACATCCCCCCCACTGGACACCCCCCTCACCCTGCTCAGTTCCAACACCCCATACTGAGCAGCTCCCAGAGTGCATGGGGTCCTCACCCACCTGCAGTTCTCACCCACCTGCCGTGGACCTCTGGGGCTCCCCACCTCCACGCTCCTCTTGCTCAGCCCCACCAAGTGGCTTTGAGACAGAACTGTTCAGACTGGGAAGAGCAAGTAGTAACTTTTCTATAAATGCATGATAATAAAAATCATACCAAATGGCTTGCCTCTAAAGTAATTTATACCTAGTTCACTTACTTTCTCTAGTTTTGTCTGAGTTGCAGCCTCCCTGCCATCCTAGTCTGGTTTTGGCTTCTGACAGTTTTTTCCAAGCAGGGCACCACACAACAGCTCCCAGGTTTCCCGGACACCAGGCAGCATGGCTTCCTCAACCCAGACATTACCTGTTCTGTGGTGGAAATTTCCAGATTGCCCGGGGCCATGGCGGTGACTAGTGACCCAGAGCCTTCACTCCATCGCAATCCTCTCAACTTCATGGCTTTCCCATCAGTTTTGACCTAAATGCAATCTCTCCTTTTACGCTGGTCCCTTCCATATCATTCAAGAGAAAGGAAAAGCATTGAGCAAATTACATTTAACAACTAGTCAAATTCTTATAAAAGAGGGGGCTCTGTGAACACCATGAGGCTGGTAAAAAGCAAGGGAACAGGTGGCTGCTTTCTGTCTAGGACACAGTGCAGGTGTGGAAAGTCATGCGCAGATGGCTGTAGGAGCTAGGGGTCCATCTGGATCTGATTGAAGAACGCTGCCCTGGGGCCAGAAGCTTGGCAGAAACATGACCCACAGACCCCAGATACAAAGGCAGGGTTGGGGTGACAGAACCTTGCCTTTAACACTTCCTACCTCCAGCTTTAGGGTTCTCTTTTGGGGCTTCCTCCCCATCCAAGCTCATGATGTTATTTCATTTCCTTCTGGAGTCTCTGTCATGTTGGTAAGTAATGTCTTCAATGAACCCCAGCAGATGCCTGCAGTGATTTAATCTACCTCCCTGCAGAAAATATTCACATTTGAATAGACAACTCCTAAAAATGCAATGCTTGTGGAATGAAGCCTAATAGTGGACTTCCCACCAAGAGGAGAGATGTTTCAGGAGCAACAGCCCTCCTCACTGCCCTCCCAGGCCCACTGTGGCACCTTGGTCACCTGGCCTGGGGTTGGGGTGAGGACAGAGGGCAGGCGCAAAACCCACCCCTCCTGCAGGTGGCACCAGCTGCCTGCAGTGGACCAGGGATGAGCCAAGCAGTTCATTTGGAAACTAAGCAAGGACGAGACAGGGCTCCAGGTGGGCACCGCTAAGGTGGTCCAAGCGGGCCTCTCTGTAGACCCTCCACCCACCTTCCACCCACCTGGGGCCCAAGCCTTCCAGTCCACGCAGTCCCCAGCATCCAGTCCCTCGGGGTGGCGGAGCAGGCGTGCTGCGGACCTGCGTCCCTCCGGCTGCAACACAAGACACGAGGGGTCAGAGCAGCGCCCGGGTCCTGTGTTGTAGCCCGAGGTCTCACACCGTGTCATGGCGGGCCCGACCTGTGGCAAGCCTGACTTCTGCATGGGTACATCCGGAGGCAGCAGCTGTAAAAGAACTGAGGCCACATTAGCAGTGGGCCCGGGGGACCGAGGCTGTCCTCAGGTCAGCAGAGGAAATCCCAACGGTCTGGAACTGAGGAGTTTGGCTGCCACAGCCTCCTGCCCCGGCAGCAGGAGTGACCTGCACTCCAGGTGAGCAGCAAGCCTGGTGGAAACACTCAGAGAGGACACCGGCTATGCACACAGACATGTCACTGTCCCCATTCCATTTCCTGGAAACAATGAATTATGGCTGTTTACAAGCCACTAATTACAGTTTATTATGTCAATACGTCCAAGAAAATGGGTTCCTACTCTAATACTATGATGAGAATTTTATAAACGATGGGCTAGTACAACGAACGGCCCTGCATTATAATAAATACCTGCACTCTGGGAGTGAGGCAGTAAACACATTACCTCGATCCATTTCCAATGGGCCTATGGAGGATTTACTACTTATTTATGGTTTCTTTTTATTCAAAAACTCCCACATATCATTTTTATGTGGATTCTTTGGGGTGATTCATTTCTGTTTTTTCTGAAAAAAATAAAATGAGGGAAGTCCAGAATCAAAAAAATAAGTGCCCCAACTTCGGCTCCTCCAAAGGTGACCTATTGAGATGTCGCCTCCAGACCCCTATCGGCCACTCTGCAGACGTCACGTCACGGGCTTGGGGACTGAGGAGCCGACCGTAGCGCTGCTTCCCTTGCTTCTATCTTCAGTAGAGCAGGCGCATCCCTTTCGTCCCACGAGTCTTAGGAGCAGGCGGTGGGCTCTGAGCACGGAGCAGACATGAAACGAAAGTGTAGAAATTAGGCAGCTTGCAGCTTTGTACCAATGCAAGAAGACACAAGTAGGAGGAAGAGGGGTAACAATAGGCCTGCACTTGGTACAGGAATTTAAAACTGAACAATTTAGATAGAGGTGAGGGCAGAGGTGGGGGCTGGGGATCCTCTCTCCTGCCTAAATTATGTAAAAGGCTGAGGGGCCCTTCCTGGCTGGCCTGGCCACTCCCCGCTGTGTCTGAGTATGTGCAGTGCCAGGGAGGTACACATTACCCAAATGACATCTTTTTATCCCAAACTCCTTTCATACGCTGGGCAATCCAGACCCAGGGCTGCATCAGGTCCTGGGAAGCAACAGGGGACTCGTGCACTTTTTAAGACTTTGTTGTCTCATGGCTCAGCACAGGGCCTCTGACGAAGGACAGCCTGTCACAAAGCCACCAGGCAGCAGCGAGCTGCTCACTGTGGGAGATGTCCCACAGGTGTCCCCAGGACCACAGATGTCCCCAGGACCCGGCAAAGCTTCCACAGCTCAGGGCCTGGCCCCGTGCTTCTCAAGTCCAGACACCCATATGATGTCATCTGTGTCCCCAAGCAGCCAGGCTCAAGGGGGCTGGCTCTTGTTGACAAAACTCAGAAGAGACAGAAATTCTGCACAAGATTACCTCGCCTTGGAGAGACAGCAGAGGTGGGGTTGCATCATGGGGTTCTGTTTGAGGAAGGGGAATATACCCCAATGCTCAGCCTAGGCTCTGACAGCAAGCAAGTGGGGCACCCTGGCGCTGTATTGAGAGGCAGCTGGGATACTGGGGACAACGACCCACAGAGGTGAAGCAAGAGCAGAGACTCAGCTCCAGCTCTGGCCACATGGCAGCAGAGACTGACCCTGGAATGAGCAAACCCCAGAAACAGACCCAGGCACACACACCCTGCTCGTCTGTGCAATGTTAGATTGCTGGCTGATCTGCAACGTCCCAGAAGCCAGCGACCAAAGTGTGGGCCAGGCAGCGCCAGAGCCTCAGCCTGTGGGAGCCGCCCTGCACCTGGCTCATGGGACATACTCCCAGGTGCTGCAGCCCGGTCTTCCACCCCAGTCCCAAGCCTGGCCCACGTGGGAAGAGCAGACAGGCAAATGCAAGGCAGGAGAGAAGCACACCGGCCTCAAGGGGAGAGCGCCGGTGCTGCAGAGAGATGAGGACAAGCCAAGCCTCCTGTCCCCCCTGCCGCCCCGGAACCAACAACCCCAACCCCAACCCAAAAGGGCCCGGAAGAAACCAAACCCCCCCCCCATGCCCACCCTGAGACAGCCTGTCTGGCTCGTTTGTGCCAAGGAGAGGTCAGAGCGAAGAGAGAATGGGAATCGGAAAGAAAAGCTTAGAGCAAAACTCCAAGCTCACGGAGCCCACTTGCGGGACAGGGGGACAAATAGATCAGCCTGCTGGGGATAACAGGACAGAGGAGGGAAAATGCTGCGGTTACTAAGTCAGGGAGTGTCTGAGCCAAGGGAGAGTCAGGGGCCTCCTCAAGAATGGGAAGCCTGGGATGGGGTACGATTTGGGAAAAACAAAATTGACTTACTGAAGGGCCAGTGGCCTTGGTGAAGTGCAGCTGGATTTTGTGCAGAAATGGGCCCACACGGAGTGTCCTGGCAGCTTCCCTGCCAGGCAGGGCGGGGTGGTGCAGAGCAGACTCAGGGAAGACGGAGGCCTGTGGCAAGAGAGCCATGGGCAGAACTCCCACCCCAGGCTTCGAATCCAGGGTGCAGGTCCCTGGTGTCCCCAGTAGGGGAAGAGCTTGTGATGACCTATCTGGTAGTTTTGGGAGGGAAATGGGTTGTGCCAGAGACCAGAGTACCTGAGGGCCCCTGACCTGTGCAAGTCAGCAAAAGCCTGACTTCCCGGGGAAATGGGCTCCCCAGCCCCTCACGGGGCTGCCCATAGCGTGCTCCGAGCGTGCACACAGCCCGTTCCAGCACGGCAGACTCTGCCCACGAAGCAACAAAGAATGCAGCTGTGACATCACCCCATCCCTGCCGCCCTGGTTCAGAGTCTGGAGGGAGACATGCCCCGAGGATGAGGGCCAGGATGAGGCCTGCAGAAGCAGGGGAAGAAAGACTGGGACGGAGGCACTCCTTAGTCACTGGGAGCTCAAGAAGTGCGAGGCTGTGGAGCTATTTGAAAAATGGGCACCATTACGCAGCAGGGTGGCATCGTCACGCAGGGTGCTGGGCTGCGGCGGGAACGCCGGCAAAGCGGCCCATTTGCCTTCCATTTGCTGCAGGTCGCATTTGCACTCTATTTTCCTTTTTTATTTTTACACCCTAAAAACAAAAGGCCTGTACATTAAATAGTCACCTTTCATCCATTTGTAATTCTCTCCCTCTGGGGCATCATAAATTTCTTTTATATTATTATCATATTAGAGAACCTAATATGTTTTTCTCCCCTCACCTTCAGCACACGGCCTCACAGACGCTTTCCAAAGCAGGACCCAAGGCCACCCGGGGTGGGAGCTTGCCTGAGCCACCCGCACGCCCCACCAAGCCGCTCCTGGCTTATTGCATGCAATGAAGGGGGCCCGTTGCTAAAATCTCCACACCTACTTTTAAAAGAACACTAATGAGAAAAGAAAGAATAGGTATCTTAGAGGAGGAGGTATAGCAATGGAGAAGTAGCACTGACCTCAAAGTCAGAAAAACAGCTTTTGAATTCTACACTGCAATCCCTTTACCTGTGAATTTAGACAAGTCACTTAAACTTTCTAAGCCTCAGTTTCCTCCTCTGCAAAATGGGCATATTGAAATGAGTCCTGGCCTCCACACAGAGTTGTTTACATAGGTAAAACAGCATAGGGTCTTCTCTGTTACTCGTGAAATGAGAATGCTGGTACTCCCAGAAACTACCAGGAGTGAGCTCTAACAATAAAATGTCATGTTGATGCAAGATTTAGCAGAATTATTATTTAATGAAATTATTCACTCTCGTATTCATTTAATAAATGTATATCGAGTTTTTGATGTGTGCTAGACATTGGACTAAAGTGGTAGAAATAAGGAGGTAGATGCCTCCTCACCTGTTTAGGCCGTGGTCAGATTCTGCTACCTGCAGCCCAAAGCAATCCTATTTCACATCCAAAGGGACAGCAGAGAGGTTAGGGGTGTGGGCTGAACCAGGGCCTAAGCCACCCTGCCAGACTGTTCTAGGTTCTGATCCAGCCTAGGAGCTTTGTAACCTAACATGACACAGTCCCTCTGAAAACAAGTTTCTACATCTATACAATGGGGGTGATAACAGTGCAGAACTTACAGGGTGACCATGAGGGAGAAGGAGGTGTTATGCCATCAAGTTCACGGCCACGGTGCCTGCACAGACGCAGCAGCCCAGGAGTACCTGCCGTTGCCGCCACACGTCCCAGTTCAACGGACCAACTGTTTGTGTCTCCTCAAAATTCATATGTCGAAATCCTACCCCCAGTGCTGCGATGGTATTAAAAGGTAGGGCCTCGGGGCAGTAGTTACGACATGAGGCTGGAGCCCTCATAAATGAGACTAGTGCCCTTATCAGAGACACAAAAGAGATTCTCTCTCTCTCTTTCTCTCTCTCTCTCAGCTAAGTGAGGACACAGCCAAAAGGCAGCTGTCTGCAAGCCAGGAAACGGGTCCTCACCAGACAGCAAATCTGCCAGCACCTTGATCTTGGACTTCCCAGACTCCAGAACTGTGAGATATAAATTTCTGTTTTTTACAAGTCTAGGGTACTTTTTCACAGCAGCTCAAACGGAGCAAGACAACCAGCAATCCTGTTTTCTTCATAATGACACATTTTTTTCTTCTTTGTTTTTTCTTTCTTTGAGATGGGCTCTCGCTCTTGTTCAGGCTGGTCTTGAACTCCTGAGCTCAAGAACCCTCCCGCCTCGGCCTCCCAGAGTGCTAGGATTATAGGCATGAGCCACTGCGCCCAGCCACAATGACACATTTTAAGATGACATGATGAAAAAAAAAAAAAAAAGATGACATGATGGCATCCCCAGGACCCCCACAGTGACTTTCAACCCACTCCTCTCTGGTGGTCAGCTGAGATCCCACCCAGCAAGAGAGCCCCCTCCCCCCTCCGTCTCCTGAAGGGGGAACTTGCCAGTGAGGCAAACCAAAGAGGTGCCCACACTTTTCCTGAGAGCAGCCTTCAGAGAAGGGACGGTCCCTGTGGCTGGCAGTCACAGAGGTAGCACAGCTCCTTGCACGTTGCAGGGGTTGGGCATACTTGGCTGAACAAACCAACCAATCAGGGAAGCTCTGACTTGAGCTAGGCCTTTCATAGAAACCACGATTATACTGTTTGCATTTGCTGTGCACATACTCTATGCCAGGCAGACTCTTAGCAAGTGGAAAGGGTCCTGGCACCCAGTCTAGTAACAGGTCTGGGACTCCTGACAGGTGTGGATTACCTTCTTGGAAGACTCAAGGCGCATCTCATGAAACCATAGGACTGTGGGATCAGTTCAAAATTACCAAATGTCAACCTGCAGATCAGATCGATTGAGTGAACTCTATTCAAAATATTAATGTTGGGGAATCCTGTCTGGACAGAGAGCAGGTGCCTTGGGGGCTGGGCCCCCTCCCTGCTGTAACCCCGCACAGCCTTATCAGGCACATTGCACAAGGCTGGGACATGGTGACAGTGTGGCTCGCTGCCTCCCACCTGCTATCTTCTGACCAAAAGTGAGGCCCGCCCCCCTCCAGATGTTATTTGTCACGGCCTTACCCGAATTCCTGATACTGTTTAAAAATTGCCACTGCTGCTCTCAGGCGCTGTACTTAGACCCTTGCAACGGCCCCCTCATCCACCTTCCCTTGTAATTGTCCCCGTCATATTACCTATTAGTCACTCCATTTCCCAAAGAGCAGAGCTTTACTCCTCAGTCTGGCATTTACGATGCTTTACTTAACAGCATCTGGCCTCTGCCCGCACTCCCCGCTGGGCATTTCACAGTCCAGAGGAACGAGCTGCTGGCCTGCCTCCCTCCCCGCCACTCTGCCCACACCACCCCTCCCCAGGGCACGCCCCTGGCCCCTCCTTGCCCATCACTGCCCTGCCTGTCACAGCTACCGAGGGCAGCTCAGAGGTCCCCTCTCATCAGACACCCCACGTCTTATCTCAAGCGTTAAGCTTGCCCTACACTGTTGACATTTCTTTATATTCTAGGTCTTTTTAAACAATAAATGTTCCTTCAACTCTTGGGTTGTAAAACTCTGTTAAATCAGGAATTGAATCATGTATGGCTTTGTGCACCCCATGGTCCCTAATAAGCTATCTTGGATATTGAGGGTATGTCATAAATATTTGTTGAACAAATTAAAATTTAATTACTTCATAAAAAATTCCCCTATTTATCATTGAAATGGCCTTTTTCTTCCACACTCACAATGCAACCATTCAATATCTCAGAAGCTTTTGCTGATATCATTTTTTTTACAAGCACAGTTATTAGTAATTTGCCTTAAAATGCTCATTGAAGGGCCCCCAACTTGAAGATAAGAGGTCCGCTTTCCTGTTGACACATACACTCCACCACGATTATCTGTCATGAGAGGCGTGAAGAGGTGTGAGGATGAGGGCTCGGGAGGTCGGATGTGCTGTCTCGAAATCCTGAAATGGGGGAATTAGCAGCAGCCTTAAGTGCTGGGGGCGCCATTAATCGTGTATGAGGCCATTAGTTCTGAATGTCACAGCAGTCAGTCTCCCTCCCCCGCCATCAGAACACGTGCACACACACACACACACACACACACACACACACACACACACACACAGCGCCATCCTTCTCCCTGCTGGGAGGGAATGTCCACAAATGCACAGGTCTGAGATAACTGAAGCATGCACACCGAAGGACCAGCACTCAAAAAAAAAAAAAAAATATATATATATATATATGACCGTCCCTACAGGGCTCCAGCCTTTCTAAACAGGAGATTTTCAACATCATTCAACCTTTCGCCTGTTGCTCAGGGTCATTCTCATGAGCACTGTTTACAGTGCTGTGCAGTCTTACTGTGATTTTTTTCTCAGAAGCACTGTGCCTTTCCCTCTCGGTTGCTAAAATATTTAGTTTCTATATCTGCTTTACATCACTTTTCAGTCTCGCCGTGACTGCCAGATTCCCCGTTGTCATTTCACGAGGGGACAGCCTGCAGAAGCAGCCTCTCCCACCCCCGCAACAGACACACATCTTTGCAAAGGCCGGGAGACTAGACAACCCGGTCGGCCAGAGAGCCGTATCTGGGCAAGACACGTGTTGCTAAGGGAGAGGACACGTGGTCCCTGTCACATTCATTCTGGAAGGTCTGAGGCCTTTTCTTACTCGCTCCCTGGGTCCCTAGAAAGTTCCAGTTGTGAGTAAAGAAAACCAGTTCAGAATGAAGGTGGTGGGAAGGGTGTGTAGAGGTGTCAGTATAATCTCTACTCTGTGATCAGCAATTTCATTTCAGCACAACAGCGTCATTCATCACATTAAATTATTGCCACTAATTTGAATTTTATTGGTTTTATAGTTTTTAGTATACTCAGTTTAGAAATTTGTTTTGGCTTTAGACCTGTGTGTGATCTTGTACGGATTTAAGTAGCCTTATAATAATAAAGTCAACATCAGGGAGCCATAAGAATTGTTCTCAGTTCTGCCTTGCAAAACCTTTCTTGGTTTGTACCAGTGCC